GGCACCATTGATCCAATTGTTAACACTTTCACTAATGGTGATTTCCACCAAGAGAAGCTCAGCTCAGTCTCTCTACCACCCTTCATTCACTCATTCACAGGTCAGTTAGAGGAGGCCCACCCTGGCCTAGTCATGGCAGGATGTCCTAGACCAGTGATGGCGAACCTTTTGAGCTCGGCGTGTCAGCATTTTGAAAAACCCTAACTTAACTCTGGTGCCGTGTCACATATAGAAAATTTTTGATATTTGCAACCATAGTAAAACAAAGATGTATATTTTTGATATTTATTTTATATATTTAAATGCCATTTAACAAAGAAACATCAACCAAAAAAATGAGTTCGCGTGTCACCTCTGACACGTGTATCATAGGTTCGCCATCACTGGCCTAGACAAAGCTTTATCCAAGAGAAGTTAGCCAGGTTTGAGGACCAGGGAGGGCAGCATCCAGGCAGAGAACAGCAGCAGGTACAAAAGTGGAGAGAGAATGTGATGTACTTGGGAAGAATGAGTATTTTGACGGGAAAATAAAGCTGGAGAAATGGGAAGGTGACAGCAAAAACTTTCGAATAATAAATAATTACACACCTGGCCTACCCTGACCACCTTGTTTAAAATGGCAACTGCTTTACTTCTTGATTTTCCATAACACCATCTTCTAACCTACTGTGTACTCATTTTCTCTGTCTAGTGTTTATTGTATTATCTCCCCACCACTCAAATGTAAGCTTCCTGAGGGCTTGGGTTTGTTGGCCAGTGTATCCCCAGCACCTAGAATGGTACCAGGTAGGCACTCAGCAAGTATTTGTTGCATCAGTGAATCTGTGCCAGACTTTAGCAGACTCTGGGCTTCAGAATAAAAAGTCATCTCTCAAAAGGGTCAGTTTCATGTCCACAGGGTTACAATACGGTATAAAAGAGAATATAATGAGGAGGGCGTCCCTGAGCTGTTTGGGCAATAGGGTGAGTCCTGAGCTGTCCTCTCCCATGGAAGAGGAGGAAATGGGAATGTGCTGGGCAGCCTGTGCTACCATTTCCTAACCCAGCCCGTGCCTCCCCAGCTGTCCATGCTGTTCACCGAGGAGTGTGACAAGGTGCGGGACCTGATGCACGTGCACTCATTCAGCTATGACTTCCACCTGCGCCTCGTGCACCAGCACGTGCTGGGCGCCCACCTGGTGCTGCGGCACGGCTACCACCTCACCACCTTCCTGAGGCACTTCCTGGCCCACCACCCTGATGGGCCCCACTTTGGTCGCAATCACATTTACCAAGGTGGGTTGGTGCCCAAGGGCAAGCCAGTGAAGCTGAAAAAGAACAGGCCACAAAGGTGTGGGCCGATGGGATCACTTCCTAGGGCCAGACTTCGACTTTCTATCCCATGTTGTTAGTTGCCTCATATGGCTTGGACCCTGCCCCCACGTCTCTGTCTTAACTTCTTCACAGTCTGTTTCATATCAAAGTTTATATCCTATGTTGTATACCCTGCCCTGCCTGTCCTGAGCCACTTTGTCCCATCTTGATGTTCTGCAGGACCTTAGGAGCTCCCCAGAAAAGCAGGGCCAGTCTGCTTGTCAGAGCCTTAGGACCTCCTAATCCCCCAGCCCATCCGATCAGTGTGTCTATCCCAGGCTCACTGTCTCCTGTAACTTGCCCCTTAGGGACCCTGGAGCTTCCCACACAGCTCATTGCTGCCCACCAGCTGTACAACTACGTGGCTGACCATGCTAGCTCCTACCACATGAAGCCATTGCGGATGGCTCGGCCAGGGGGCCCAGAACATAATGAATACGCCCTGGTGTCAGCATGGCACAGGTATGGAGGAGAGGGGACACCAGCATGTTAACTGGTGTAGCTGCGGTCAGAACCATCCTCACAGTTGGGAGACGTGTGTTTTCTTGGGCAGAAGGGGTGAGGTTGACTTCATTAGGACCTCAGGCTGACATCTCATCCCCACCGCACAGCTCCGGCTCCTACCTGGACTCTGAGGGGCTTCGTCATCAGGATGACTTTGATGTGTCTCTGCTTGTCTGTCACTGTGCCGCACCCTTTGAGGAGCAAGGAGAGGCTGAGCGGCATGTTCTGCGGTCAGCAGATCCCCTACCTTGAATGTGCCCATTGTCCAGCCTGCCCCCTGCCCTTTCCCTGTTTCCTGCTGTAACCGCCACTCTGGCCCCCTCCCCATTCCAGGCTGAAGTTCTTCGTGGTGCTCACCAGCCAACGAGAGCTCTTTCCCAGACTAACTGCTGACATGCGCAGGTTCCGGAAGCCACCCAGACTTCCCCCTGAGCCAGAGGCTTCTGGGAGCTCCGCTGGTAGCCCTAGGGAGGCCTCAGGGGTTGGTCCGGTGCCTGGCCCAGCTCCTCTGTTCCCTCCGCTGGCTACAGAGGTGGGCGTGGCACGGGCGCGACTGGCTCAGCTGGTACGGCTAGCTGGAGGGCACTGCCGCAGGGACACCCTCTGGAAGCGCCTCTTCTTGCTGGAGCCACCAGGGCCTGATCGGCTGCGGCTAGGGGGGCGCTTGGCCCTGGCTGAGCTGGAGGAGCTCTTAGAGGCGGTCCATGCCAAATCCATTGCAGACATTGACCCCCAGCTGGTAAGGAACTGTGGGTTCCAGAGGGGCTGGGCTGGACGTTAGGAATTCCATGGGCAGCCAGGGTGGAGGGTGCAGGGTGGCTCTGGGACAGCAGGTCCAGGCCTGTGGACCTCCCCCAGGACTGCTTCCTGTCCATGACGGTCTCCTGGTACCAGAGCCTGATCAAGGTTCTCCTGAGCCGCTTTCCCCAGAGCTGCCGCCACTTCCAGAGCCCAGACTTGGGAACGCAGTACCTGGTAAGTCTCCTTGACCCGCCTCAAAAACAAACCTTCCTTGGCTAGAGATCCTCAGGGCCAACTTCTGGAACCTCATCGGTGGTTGGTCTTAGAGGCTGCAGTCCCAGAAAGGACCTCTTGGGCGTTAAGCCGTCTTATTCTCCCCAAAATGTGGCCCTCGCACCAGCAACACCTGGGAGCTTGCCAAAATGCACTCACCCCTGACTGAGAATCCGCCTCTCAGCCAGATCCCCAGGGAACTGTGTGCACTGAAGCTGAAAGCGCTGCCAGGGAGGCCAGGGAGAGAAGAGCTGTGGTGATAGGCGCACACACGGGGGGAGTAAAAGGTTAGAGATGAGCCAATGAGAGCAGTGTCCAGGAAAGGACACTTAAGAGAAGACTTCAAAGCATAACCAGTGGACATAAGACATGGGGGGATAGGGGAGGCTAGGGGACTGTCTAGGGCGGGGGGATAAAATGGACACATATGTAATACCCTTTGTAATACTTTAAGCAATAAAAAATAAATAAATAAATAAATAATAATAAAGAGAAGACTTCACAAGAAAAAGTAGGAGTTGGTTCGTGGTGATGGGTCCTGCAACCTGTTGTGGGGAAGATTAGTTTCAAGGTGTTCTGAAGGGACATCGGGGATTGGCACTCAGGAGAGAGATCTGGGCAGCATCTGTATGGACAGGGTGTCCCTGCAGCCTGGGAGTGGAAGAGATTGCCCAGGGACAGACAGACAGGAGGGGACAGTCCAGGGCAGTCAGAGAGATATAAAACCTGGGATAGCACAGGAGGCAAGGAGGGGCCTGTCAAGGGTAGAGAACTCCCCGTGGTGGTTGGGCTGCGGTGCCAGCTCTGTGCAGCGCCTCCAGATAGATGACTTCAGGAACCTCCCAGTCAAGCCCCCCTCCCCTTCACTCTGATGAAGCTGGACAGGCTGACCAGGGGCCAGTGAGGATGAGGACTGAGGTTGCGTTTGAAGGTGAGGTTCTAGGTGACGGTGGAGTGAGTGCAGGTGGGTTCGGGTGTGGTGATGGAAGCAGCCCTTCTTCAGACTGGCCCCCCCCACGTCCAGGAGGCCCTCAGGAGGGTCTGTCCTTCCTCAGGTGAGACAAACCTCCCTCCTCATCTCATTTTGTCTTCTGCTACAGGTTGTGTTAAATCAGAAGTTCACTGACTGTTTTGTGCTAGTGTTTCTGGATTCCCACTTGGGAAAGACGGTGAGAACAGGGGGTGTGGGACTCTGTGTCAGCCTGGTGGGAAGCTGTACCCCAAATGCTGCACCCGAGCCTGCTGAGGTTGGGATGCCTACCTGCCCTTCTCTCACCAGTGGACCCCCACTGTGTTCCCCAGTCTCTGACAGTGGTTTTCCGAGAGCCCTTCCCAGTACAGCCCCAGGACAGCGAGAGCCCCCCTGCCCAGCTGGTCTCCACCTACCATCACCTTGAGTCTGTCATCAACACAGCCTGTTTCACCCTCTGGACCCGTCTCCTCTGAGGAATGGACCGCTGAATGTCACTGTTCCTCGAATCATGATCTATAAGATTACCCACTTGAAGCAGGACTGACCAGCCCTGTGTACCCCAGCACAAGCCTGGACACTGAGGGATACCAACAGCTTTGTGCATCTCTCTGCGGGGTCTGTAGCCTCAGCTTGGCAGCAGGGACTACCCTCCCTAAAGACTCACAGGGCTCTAGCAGGTCAGGTCACCTCCCTGAGGTTCCCATCTCTCAGGCCCCTGGGCCCTTCCAGGGGGGACTCCTTCCTGCTTACCTGGTGGAGTCCAGGACTTCTTCACACCAGGTGGCAAGCGCTCACCCGAGGGCTCCTCTGCCTGAATCCCGCCTCCAAGTCACCCACCTCCCACCTTGAGCTCTCTGGTCCTCACTACCCACCGAGACATCACTGATGGACATTGCCATTGAGATAAGACACCTGGGCTCCAATCCCAGCTCTGTCTTTGGAGCACCTGAGCCTGAGCAAGTCCCTTTGCTTCCGACCCCTGGGGTCTCAAATGTACGTGAGGAGGTGGACTCAAAGCTCTCCCTTCTCCACAGCAACACTGCAGACTGGAAGACTCAGATGTGAGCCGTGTGTCCCTTCCCAACAGGAGGGAAGCGATCAGGGAAAGTGAAGGGTTAGACACTGTGTGTCCCAATAACATACATGTATGAAAATGTTCAGCAAGTTGTCTTTAATTCCAGAGGATACTCAGGAAGCTCAATTCACTGTCCCAGAGAGGCAAGTTGGTGGACTGCAGGACCTCACTGGCCAGCCTGTGAGCGGCCCCGCCTATCCCAGTAGGAACGTAGCCAACTCAAGCCCTCCACTGTGTCTCCTGAGGGGAGAGTGGGGCAGCAGCATCTCAACCCATGAGGAGGAAAACAGCTCCTGTCCAATACCTGTCCCCCAGTTCTCCCGTTCCCAGGGCCAAGCCTGGAGCCTCAGCCCGCCCCTCACCTTGAGGCTGGTACTCGCAGCCTACAAAGCCGTTGTAGCCTTCGTCTTCCAGCAGTTGGAATAGATAGGAGAAGTTCAGCTCTCCAGGGCTGCCAGGGTCCCCCCGGCCTGGGACCTGTGCCACCTGCACATGCCCTGGGGACAGATATGGGCAGATGTGAGGCTCAGGCCTGAAGGACAGGTGTGTGTGTGGGTGTGGGGGGGGGGTGCGGATTGGAAGAGTGGGAGAACAAAGGAAGCAGCACAGCAGATGAGGAAGGAGCAAAGAAAGGGGACCCTCTCACCAACGATGGGCAGGAACTCGCGGATGTTTCCTGTCAGATTCCCATCCATGATCTGCCAGTGGAATATGTCCTGGGCGGAGATTACTACAGTCAGAACTGCCTCAGGCCCCACCATGCTGCCCAGTTGGAGAGCATGGGCCCTGAGAAGCACTCCTTTTCTTCACGTACCATTTGTAACTGGAGGTTGGGCCTTCCAACCTTCTGTAAGATGGCTGCCGCTGGAGAGAAACCGGGGGGGGGGGGGGGGGGGGGGTGACACTCAAGGAGGGCACAAGAATCAAAGGGACAGGAGGCAGCACAGGGCGGGGGTCCTACCCTGCTGGGGCGAATCCAGGAAGTACTGGGGGTCAGTGATGCGGGTATTAATGGGCTCCAGCAGTCCCACGAGGTTCTCCTAGCACCGGGTTGGATCTGTGAATAGAGCTCTTCCCCCCAGGTTTGGCCTCTATTTTTGTCACTGACCAAGCCCCTCACCAGTCCCTCTGACCTCGGCCAGTGCCCAGCCTTATGCCGGCTGCTCTCCGCACTGTGCACCCTTCCCTGCACTCGGACACGTTCGTGTGAGTATGTGTGTCAGTCTTCACTGTCATCTCACCTGAGCCAAAACCCCGGCTGCGTGCCTCAGGTTCTCCAGAAAAACTGTCTCCATTTCACCCCTGACTGCTGCTCGGTCGGCACCCCGGGGTACGCGGCCGGCCAACAGGTGAATCCTGTGGGGAAAAGGGGACCGGAAGGGGCTGTGGAGTCCATCCCAGAGCAGGCCTTTGCTCCCTCAGCTCCTCTTCCGGCTGCCCTCCTCCCATCCCCCAAAGGTCTCTGGTCCATACCACTTGGCCCTGATGCTCAGGCCTCAGACACACCTGTGTCAGCTTTTGGGCAAGCCTTTTCCCACAATCCTGAGGGTCAATCCTCCTGCCTCAGAGTCCAGTTCCTCACTTAGCCCCTCCTGTACTTTCAGCCTCCTTTCCAGGGGCCCTTCTCAGCCTTGAAACATGCTGAAGTCCCATTTTTAGACATTTTGACCCAAACCCTTCTTGAGAATTCCATGCTGCTTTGTCTCTATTTCCTGAATGTTTTTTAGCTGCTTCTCGTCTGATTTCTGACCCCACCCCACCCCTACCAATAGCGACCCCTTACTGCCAGTTCCTTCTCAGCCTATTTAGACCCGCAGGATTTGACATTTGATCAGCCCCACTTAGAGCCTTGCACCTCCCATCACCACCTGATCTTTCTCAGCCACATCCAGCCTCTTGAACTTTGCTGAACACACCAAGCCGCCTCTTGCCTCTGGCCACAGCATCCCTGCCTGGAATGCTCCTACATCAAGCAAATGCCCACTCCTTAAGACCCAGTTCAACATCACACCTGTGGGAAGCTTCCTCTAATCCCAGACAGGTGCCTACTCTGCTCCCACTGCCTCCGCCTCCGTGCATTGACCTGTTCTCAAATGTATCCCTCCTCCGTTTTCTGTTTACTTTGCTATCTCCCAGGTCGGACTGAGCTCCCAGCATGGGATCCCAGCAGGGGAGAAGCATGAAAGAGTTGCCAACTGAGAATGACACACAACAAATATGAAAGGCAATTTACAAAGCACCAGGACTGCAGGGGTGTAGAAGCGCCAGCGCGCTCAGACTTCTGAGCCTCTCAAAACCTGGCGTCCTCATCCGCCACCCCCCAAACACGTGCGGTAGGGTCTTGGGTCTTAGAAGGGGAAGAGGAAAGGGCAGGATACCTGGGACAGCCCAGAGCCTTAGCGTACAGCACCGCCTGCTCCAGCCCCTCGCGGAAGGCCGCCTGCCTCCCGGGAACGGCCCCCAGCCCCATTTCCCCCTTCTCTCGGTCTCCTGCAGAGAGAACGGACCTCAGCGCCCGGCTCAGGCGCCTGGCCCCCACCTCCCGGGCCCGGGCCCGGGCCCGGGCCCCACGGCGCACCCGGAGGCGTGTTGATCAGCACCAGCTGCAGCCCCGCTTCTTGCGCCGCGCGCGCCAGCGCCTCCGGCGGCTCCGCGTACGGCCAGGCGACCTCGGCGGCCTCGAAGCCCGAGCTGCCCGCTGCCCGCAAACGTGCGGGGAGGCCGGGGAGCTCGGGGAACAGCCAGGACACATTGGCCGAGAAGCGCAGCGGAGCCATGACCGGCTGGGAGCGCGGGGCAGAGTCCGCGGCGCCCGAAGGCGGAAGCGGGTGGGGCGCTAGCGAGGGCGCGTCCGGAGCTCGCGGAGGTGCACTGCCCCGGCCGACCGACAGGGGGCGCGCTGGAGCCGCGAGTCAGGGTCGTGAGCGCTGTGGGCAGTTTTTGGTAAGCAATGTGTTGTAAAAACCGTGGACAGTGCAGAAAAGTGAAATATTTCAAAATAGGAGAAAGGGAAGCGCAGGGAGTGGAGAGAGGGCAGAGCGAGGGAAGCGCGGCCAGGAGGCAGACAGAGAGAAGGTGGGGTGCCCAGTGGCCCTTTGAGGTTGCAGTGGCAAGTAAGAAGCCAGCCTGCCTCCAAGGCCATTAAAATGAAGGAATGAGCCCTAGCCGCTGTGGCTCAGTGGATAGAGCGTCGGCCTGCGGACTGAAGGGTCCCGGGTTCGAATCCGGTCAGGGGCATGTACCTTGGTTGCGGGCACATCCCCAGTAGGGGGTGTGCAGGAGGCAGCTGATCAATGTTTCTCTCTCATCTGTTTCTGACTCTCTATCCCTCTCCCTTCCTCTCTGTAAACAATCAATAAAATATATTTTTAAAAAAAAATGAAGGAATGAGACTTTAGCAAACACTTACTAGTAAGTATTTTTCCTCATTGTAAAAATGGCACCTGTTCATTACAGAACATTTGAAAGCTTATAACCAAGTAAGAACATTTAAACCACCAGTTATCACACCAATCACCCATTAACTTTCCCTTACAGATTAAAAAAATTAAAGTGCAGTTTTTTCTTAGAAAATTTTGATCATATTTTATATATGGTTTTATAGTCTGCTTTTCATTTATTATTATTAATTATTATTATTATTATTTTAAATCTTTGCCGGAGAAGTAAGGATATTTTTTTCCATTGAATTTCAGAGAGATTGGAAGTGAGAAAGGGAGTGGGAGACAGGGAGACAGGAGAGAAACATCAGTGTGAGGGAGACACATCAATTGGTTGCCTCCCACACGTGCCCCAACTGGGAGCAGGCATCAAACCTGCAACCCAGTTATGTGCCCTTAAGTGGGAATCAAACTAGGACCCTTCCAGGTGCAGGCCGAGGCTCTGACCACTGAGCATGCTGGCTAGAGTGTCATTTAATATTATTTTGTGAGCATTTGTCATGCCATAAAATAAAAATTATCTTAGTAAATTTGAAGAACTAATTGGCTTTATTAAACAATTCATGGGTCGGGCAACATCTCATCTAGCAAGGAGAGAGACCCACAGGAGTGACACAAGATGAAAGACATTTTTAGAAAGGAGGGTGGGGCAAGAAAGTGTTAACCCTGAGAAAAATATACTTGCCAAAAAGGATTCATCGTAATTGGGCTCAAATTCATAACCAGAGTCGAGTAGTCACTGTTTCTACTGCATTTCAGGGAAAACCACGCACCTCACTGCCAAGCATTGGTTGACTCTCAGCTGAGTCAACCCCTATAAAAGAGCTTCTAGGATCAAACTCAACCAATAGAACTGAGATTTCCCCCATCCAATCTTCACTAACCAATTAGAGGGGCTCCATTCCATCCAATCAAGACAGTGCTCTTGGGACAAATCAAACTGTGATAATTTGGAGTCCTCATTTTCATGAGAAGAACCAATCCCAGACTGAGGTGGGAACTCTTCTCTTTATAAGCCAGCTTCCCCCGTCTCCATTGAGCACACTACCAGTTTCCACTGAAGACTACGCCTTCCCCTGCTGAAATGCAACCCAGGATTGTAACACCAAGTCATGCTGTTTCATGACTGAGCTGTCACTAAGTTCTTTCACAATTGAGCTGTTTTCATTGAATAAAGCCTCTCCCTTCACCACACCCCAAATTGGAAACTCCTGTTGGCGTTGATGACAACCTTCTGTTGACAAAAGTCACTAGCAGAAGAAAAATGAAAGTTTATTGGAGGAAAGTACAAGTTCAGGGTAACCATGAATTATTGGCTGAGTTGTAGTGTTTTCCATTGGTTGGGTTTGTTGCTGGGTGAGAAGAAAATCTTCCTCCTTCATGGGTGGTAGATACAGCTTCCTCTTGGAGACACAGGTATGTCTTTTCCTGTTGGGGATAATTGATGAGGAGTGGTAGGGGGTGAGATATTCCTCTCCACACAAGTTTTAGCTGAGGTGTCCTTCATTTTCATGCCTGTGTTCTTCAATGGTCTTAAAAAGCATTGCATTAGCTGCTCATTGTTCCACGCCCAGACAGCCTGGAATTTATCATACTACTGTGTTGATGGACATTAGGGTTTTTCAATGTGTGTGTGCACACTGTAAAAGCACTTTAATGCATCTCTCAATCCCATCTCTGAATTGTTTTCTTGGGTTCCTTGTGTGCAGATGCTCATTACAGTGCTTGCCTGCCAAAAGTACTTTACAGTCCTGTGCACATAAAGTTGTTTAGGTCAACAAGGAACCACATATATGACAGTGGTCCCATCCTATATAATAAAAGGCTACTGTGCAAATTGACCGAATGGCTGAACAACCGGTCGCTATGACATGCGCTGACCACCAGGGGTCGCGTGCGGAACATGGTGGGCATTGGCAGTGGGCGGCAGAGCATAGAACATGCAGGTGGCCGTCGTGGTGGGATAGTGGAGCAGGTGAGCAGGGGCGCCAGACCAAGGTGGGGCACAGGTCACTGTCATCTGTGAGCCTCTGGTGGTTACTGAAAATTCTTTGCTCCTGCGTGCCACAGCCCTGCCCAGTGCTCACACCTGCTGCTGGTGCTGGCCCCAGTTGCTCTGTGCAGTCAGTGGATAAGATCAGGGCCAGCTCCGTCAGCACTTGGGACCAGGGCCGGCAGTGGGAGCAGGGCTGCCAGCAGACAGGGGACAGTGTGCTGCCATGTGAGGGGCCTGGCAGAGGCCCTTGTGCCCATGCAGCCTCACGGCCCACAGTTCCTTTCAAGGTGCACGAATTCGTGCACTGGGCCCCTAGTAAGATTATAATGGACTATAGGCAAAAAGTTAGTTTGTGATGTTGAAAGAAAGTGCTGGACCCAGCTATAATGTTGAAGTTACTACTAGCTCTCTGTGATATGAGGAGGCTCAGCATGCTGTCCACCCACCATGTGCCTTCCTGAAGCTGGGGCAGGCAGTTGGCAAGGGAGTAAGTAGGGAGGGCTAAGGAGGAGGGGGAACTGGGAGCCTGCTGTCCATCCACACTTGTTCACACCATCGTTGCACTCACACACACAAATACTTGTGTGCACAAACTCCCCACCCTCCATTTCTCCTTCTCTCTCTTTCCTCCCAGTATGAGTCCTTTTTGCCCTGCCTCTACTCTCCCTCTCTGATTGGGCAGATTCCTAAGGTTGGAATTACATGGTCAAAAAATAGTAATATGTTTAAATTCTTCATGGCTGAGCTAAATTGCATTTCAAAAACGCTGTACATTTATTCCCCAACAATACATGAGTAGAAATCATCTTGTCTATTTTCTGTGCTAGCATTGACAGACGGAAGCTCAAAGTGCAACATTAGGAACACCCAACACCCAGCCTCCAAACCAAGGCAGGCCCAGGCTGATCTCAAAGTGGTTGGCAGTTTCCATTTCAGTTCTGCCTGTAAGAACAGGCTGCCACCAGCTATTACAGATCACCTGACTTCTTGCCCGTTTGCAGCTGGCATTATACTTGGCACTTTGACTTGTCCTGGAACATGTTTCTTGGGTGTGGTCCAATCAGGATGTGACCTCACCGAGCCTAACAATTTAATCAATCCGAACTTCAGCACGTTTACGATCCAATGTTGACCAAACAGAGGAACGTCTAAAGGAAGTAATTTCTTTATTAATCCTTCACTGTAAATCTCTGAGCATGAAAATCCTAAGACTTTAGAAAAGCACCATCATCTGCTGGGGTTTGTAACAGGAACAAAATTTGTCCCATTCTCAGTGGTCCACTCCTTCTTTACTGTATACCGTTTAGGGCAGCAGAGATGGTGTCTGAACTAGATAGGCATGACTCACTTTCCCCCTTAATTCCCTTAAAAACATCTTCACTTAATATACCAAAATAAATACAAAAGGAGAACAATGCACATGAAAATTATTTTCTTTATTCATCGTTTGACTATTTATACCTTATACCACTTTGTAACATAGGCATTACACTAAATTATTATTACAAATCTTCTTTTAAAAATATATATTTTATTGATTTTTTTTTACAGAGAGGAAGGGAGAAAGATAGAGAGTTAGAAACATCAATGAGAGAGAAACATCAATCAGCCGCCTCCTGCACACCCCCGACTGGGGATGTGCCCGCAACCAAGGTACATGCCCTTGACCGGAATCAAACCTGAGACCCTTCAGTCCACAGGCCGATGCTCTGTCCACTGAGCCCTGAGTCAGGGCTATTATTACAAATCTTGATTCTTTGAAGTTAACTCCTAACCAAAGAATTTGTACCGGTATGACAATTAGTTAAGGTAGCAATAATTTGTAAATAGTTACATGGATAATGGCTAAACCTTGAGTGTACAACTGAGTCTCATTTGATCATTGGATTGCACCTGCCAATGTGGTAAAAAAAAAAAATAACCCAAGTGAAAAGGAAATAAAAATCTCAATGAAATTCCATTTTATACCTCCCAGATTGGCAAACATTTAAAAGACAGACAATATCAAATACTGGGTAGGATTGGAAACAACTAGAACATTTATTTATTGGAGATAGGAGTATAAATCACTTCAACCACTTTGGAAAACAATGTACATTGTCTCTTAAAGCTGGACATTCAGATGCCCTTGATCAGCAGTTCCTCTCCTCGGTGCATTCCCTGGATACACTTTTGCACCAGTATATCAGGAAATAAGTTCAGTGATGTTCATTGCAGCACTATTTATGTAGCAAAAATATGGAACTAACCCAAACCATATATAGGTGACTTGTGGTATAGCCATACATTGTTGTTTATAAAAGTGAAGAGCCAGCTGGTGGCTCACAGGAGAAAATTGAGTTTGCTTTGTATTAAAGTAATATACGAAGAGCCTAGTGAAGCTTTGGCCAAATTGAAAATATCTGTGTGAACACATCAGATGGATAAATCTCAGAAGCATAATCTTGAATGAAAGAAGCAAATCACAGAGAAATATATACAGTATGATTCCATCCCTATTCAGTCAAGCAAAGAAAACCAAACAATATTTTGTGTAAGACACATCTGTAAAACTATGAAGAAGAGCAGGTGAATAATGGTCACATAATTCAGGATGATGGTGACCTCTGCAGGGGGAGGGGAGGGGGTGAACATTGGAAACTTCAAAGGTACTGATCATCCCCTTT